ATATGTATATGTAGACTATTTAAAATGTTATAAATGCCCTACAGTGCACATTCAAGCCGCGTGATTCCATTAATTGGTCTGGAGGATAGTCGAGGTCATGTCCTTTTGGGGGAACCGCTTTAGCACTATGCGCCGGATGTTCATCCGGCCGCGTGGAGCACTACCTCATGCTTTGATTTGAACAAGACACTTGTTTGCTAACACTGAACAGTCAAGCGATAATTTGGAGCCTCGTTGAGGCCATCTGCATTTGGCCTTGACCATGGGGGGGATTAATCAAGACCGTAGCCTCTTTCAAGGCCAGATGCTCACTTAGGCCTTAAATAGCCGTTAAAGTGTCCATGAGATATTGTTAAGCTGCTCTGTGCTAGTTTTAGACCCTACGAGCAGACATGGGCTATAACTGCAGCGGGCTAGAGACCTTGTCGATCTTATAGGCCAAATGTTCCTACGCTGGCTCGCCTAGGCGTTGATATTGCGCAGAACAGAGTTTTATAATCCATAGTATGCCGCCACTGTCTCCCGCGGACCTTCCGCTGCATTATGTTCCAGTCCTCTTTGTGTCGTCCCTCTGCTGTATCTTGCTTGTCAGCTGAAGAAAATGCTCTCCAGACGCGACGGAAGTCAAGCAAACCCGATGTATGTATATTAGTAATACGTAATTACGTGGTTTAATTGATTAAAACAATTATGGGCGAAACTTTCCCAGATTTCGAGTTTGGGGGCAACAGGCTACACAAACACGGTGACCCTGAAAGACATGCGCAAAGCTGTGAGACGTCTCATTCCAAGCCGCAAATGGACAAGAAAAGAATAAATCACAAAAGCTAAATGAAAATACTGATTAGCGTTTAAAAGATCAATGTTTTCATGGACTTTTCAACGGGGGCCGCTGCGCCGGCTGTCTCTTGGCCGTTCTACACATTTTGACCCTTCCGCCAGTTCCTTTCCGTACATATGGTTTTAAACAAATCACGCAGGAAGTTCATGAGCCAATCAACTATTCGTAAATTTGTTCTTAAGTCATTCTGCATTTGTACGCTGTCTTCCCGCAATACAGGCTGAAGTAGGCTTCAATCTCCATTGCTCGCCATGGTGTCTGTCCAGCTTGCATGTCTTTGGAATGCTTGGGCCTTCATTGCTGTCGTCGTGTTTATTTGTGTTCCCAATAATGTGTCAAAACTACATAAAGCTTGACTTACAAGTACAGCAAGAAACCCTTTCAGGGTCTACTCCGCTGAATTTTCTTCCTTTCGTCGCACCCTTGCCTCCCTTTTGGTGTTTTTACAGGATGGTGTTACTGCACGTGAAAACAGCGGACGACTCAAACCAGTTTTTGTTCGAAGTAGAAACAAAAGAAAAAGTTAGAGACATAATGCATGAGTTGACTTCTCTGCACCTCAAGAGAATACAAACACTAAAACTTGCAGACGCAGCAGAGGCTCTCGCCACCTATGGGCCCCTTAGGCCCGAAGAGACGCGAGGGCTCACTGAGGAAGTCCGTTGCAGGCTATTTTCTCAGTCACCTTGATATAGATCACTCCTTCCCTGTCTTCCCCATCGTCTACCCCTTTTTTGTCCTTCAGGGCCTTCGTGTGTCTACCGTGTCTTGACCTCCCTGAAGCCCCTACTCCCTAGCAGTTCGTCGATTAGAGTTAAGGCTTTGGGGCTCAGCGTTCAGGATTAAAGGTCTAGAGCTCAAGTTTCGTGTCCTATGCATAGGTAGCCCGCCTATCAAACTTAAATGTGTACCCCGATGGCCCCCCTACAAATCCAGACCCGCATTTTTACCGTACAGGACATCCACCACCGGAGGAAACAAAAAACGTAATTCTAAAAGCGGTTGAAGAGGCTAAGGAGGCACTTTCCCACAAGCAGGTACAACAAACACCAGCAGCTACAACGGCATGTACAGTAGCATCAGCAGCAGCAGGAAAAACGGTAGTGACTGCGGTAGCAGCAGAAGTAGCATGGTTAGCAATAGAAGCCACAGTATCAGCAACGGCAGCAGCAGCAACAGCTGTTCGTGCGCTTTTAGCTTGATGCTATGGTAGAACTAGGCGAAAGGGAGACAATGACATAAAAGGAGGCAGGCACACAGAGGCAAAATGAGCGACAGAAAAAATCAAGAAGAAGAAAGCAGATAATGAGATACGAGTTTTAGTGAGAGGCAGGGAGTTGTGAGAACGGGAGCGGCAAAACAAGGAGGTACACAAACGAACGGGGGACTAACTGGAGCGACAGAAACGAGAGAGAAATCCAAGGAACACAAAGTATCTAGCACAGTAAAAGGCAGATGTGACTGTCTGTGCAAAAGACAGACATACAAGATGGTTATACGAAATTAACAGGGCGAATGGACAGAAACACATGTGCAGCATCGCACAAATTCACACAAATGCAAACAAATGAAACGGACAGACGAGCTAACGAACAAACAAACACACATTGAAACAGCCAAAAACCAAGCACATAGACAAGTAATCAAATAAATGGGCTGTCCAACGGCAGACGATAACCAGCAGAGAAAACAAAGCGCACAGCAAACATCTAGGAAGACGATCCACCAATCACAATTGCTCAGTTGGAATCCTAAAACGCCAAACGCTATCATCACATTTGACCTTGCAACATGCTATTTAAAGATAGGTTACTTTCACCCTTAGCGGACCATAGTAACACGGAAAAGAAGCTGCTTTTTTCCCAGTGTCCTGCCCCCTATTATGGAGAATTTGATATATGCGGTTTAGGTTTTACTGGAGTTTTCCATTGCCTGTGCATTAGTGCATCTACATGCATTGCTTCGCCATCACATTTTAAAATCCTAATGCGTGGGCTTGTGTGACGAGGCTTCAGGCTGTAGGCTGCAGGAGTCAAGACGTAATATCTGCGTATGATGAGTGTGCAGGTGCTCTTGAAGACCTGTCTGAGCTTGCAAACAGTTGAAGAAAAATTGAACACGCTGAAGGGTGCTGTGCAAATCGCCTATCCCGCATTCCACGGCTTGCCTCCCTATGAACCCACCAGATTGATTATTGAGGGAAAAGAAATGAATGATTCGCAGGATATCTCCCATGTATCAAACGCAGCTGCTACGGATGATGAAGGAACTGCTGCTGCTGTTGGGGTTATGGTGCTGCTGCTGGTGCAAGCTTGTGCTGCTTTGACGTTGCTGCTGGGGTGATGCCGGCAAGAGTTGTTGCTACTAATACTGCTGCTGACGCGCTTCTGCTGATTCTACAGAGCATAACTGCGGAGAATGCGTGTCTATGGTGGACGGGGAAGCAGCTCCAGCAGGAAGAGCCTCTGAGTAAATATCTCGGGACAAATGAAAAAACAAAGACTGTCGTCAGGCTGCAACCAAAATGTGCAGGCAAGGGTCAACCTGTAGTCCCTAGCTTCTGAGGGCTAGACCTATATGTGTGAAGCCCTACCGTTAAACCCTAAAACCTGAACTGAGGCTTGCATTCGTGGGGCTTGGAGAAGATATTAAATTTGGGACAGGTTTGGCGTCATAGCTTTAATTTCGCCGCTTGATGTTTCTGCTTCCCTCCAATGAGCATGTGGGTGGCGCTGCCTTCGATGAACTGCTGCTGCTGCTCCTGCGGATGCTTCTGCCTACTGCTTCTTTGGTGCCGCTGCTGTTGCTGTTGCTGGTTACTGCAGGCCCCCCTGTGCGTGAGCCTCGTATGGACGCGGAGACGCACAAAGCAGTGTTGGCTTACTGTCACAAAAGGAGACAAGAAGAAAAGGTAACTTTAAATAAATAAATACATAGTCTGATAAGGAGCTACGGGCGGGCTGACCGCTTTATCAGCAACCAAATGGTTGCAGATAAAGCAGTCAGCCAGCATGTCCGAATCCTTGATTAATTGGCGTATTTTCCGCAGTCACTAAGAAACTATTTAAGGGGCAAATGATCAATTACATCCTCCAAGTCCTTTTAATTGATATTTTTTATTGATTAGGCACTGGAGGAAGACGACGATGACTCATATTTATTTTCTCCTTGGGCAAACCCGAAGGCGCTGAAGGAATCGCTATTGGGCATGAGTGGCCAAGTCAAGTGGCGGGCATGACACTTGTAAACTGGCAATCAGCTAAACGCTAAAAATAGGAATAAACTGATCGATGAAGAGTAACCAAAACCTGGCGTTGAAGGTTGGAGTTCGTTTTGGCGGGAATATCTTGAGCCAACAATAAAAAGTGAAACAGCAGCGATTGAAGCAGCACAAAACCTCCGCTGCAGCAGCGATAACAGCAGAAATTGCGGGCTGCCCGCAGTACACCGCATCGTTAGAACGAACGAAAGGTACTTCATCGAAGGAGTTACAGCCGCAGCGAGGGCCACTTGCACTGCTGCTGTTGCTGCTGCACTACTTTGCCGCAGCATTCAGACAAACAGATGTAGACGGAGAGGGAGAAGGTGCTGCTGCATCAAAAACTGGAATAGCAACAGCAAGACGAAATACGCTCCTCTTCATATGAAACGAAACATGAAACGTTGCGGCAAGAAGAAAAGCAGCTGCAGGAAAAGTTACCGCAGCAGCAGCAGCAGAAGATGAAGCAGAAGCTGCCGCAGAAGCTGCCGCCGATGCGGATCTCTGGCAGCCTGTGCTTTGTTGCTGCTGCACGGCTGACCGGAGTTGGCAACAGAAGTATATAGTAGCACGGCTTTTTTTTAGCGCTCAGCCAGTTTATTATTTAGCAAACTGACTATCTAGTAACATACGCAACTTATTGCTTGTTTATAAGTATTTTGGGCTAGTCAGCGGGGCGGCTCCTCTGTTCTTTTTCTTTTCTCTTTGCCGTCTTCTGTATGTCTTCGCTGCTGCCTTCCCAACAAAAAACAAAAAGCAGAAGATTAAAAATATAAAGGAGATGCTAAACCACCAGCTCTTTCGCCAGTCCGCAGCCTCCCAATACGCAGCGGAGCGACCTTCCTGAAGCAAAAGCCCTGAACTCTAAACCCTGAACCCTTAAACCCTATGTTCCAACCTTCATGTCTACACGCCAAGAAGGAAAGGAATAGACTGCGCATAATCTGCCCGCCCTCTATGCAACGAACCCTGAAATCTACGCCATGTAAACCTGCTAAATAGAGGCCTCTACAGATCCTAGACTCGAACCATGAAACCATACGGAACCATACGGATTTAACCCTAAACCCTCCGTGATTCTGGCTGACCGCAAACAGCTTGATCATCTTGTCGATTTCCTCCAATGTCTGCTCCTTAAACCTGAAGGGCTCATTGTTATGCTGAATCAGCTGTTGCACTTGCTCGCGCGAGAGAGAAGACAAGGAGGCAGAGGCAGGCAAAGACAACGCAGAGCTGTAACAGCCAGCCCACATGTGGTGAAATAAACACACCAACACGTCACTTTCCCGCATGCCCTGGATCGCACACAGCAGCCGTGAACCTTAAACCTGAGCTTCAAGCCCTGATAAAAAGCATTTTATATAATCCTTTTAATGGCACGATAGCAAACAGATAAAAAGAAAACGGTTCTGACAGAAGCAAGCGAACAAGGAAGAAACAGAGGTTCTAAATGTCAGACAGAAGAGAGAATGGAGGCACAGAAGAGAGACACAAAAAGAGAGACAAAGAGACGATGGGGCCAACAAGCTGAGCAACAGAAACGCACAGACGCAAGTACGAGAAGAGATGCAGAATGAGGCGGCACAAACAGAAAGAAGGCACGAAAGGGAGATGAAGCAGACAGGCAAAACATACATTCTGTGCAGCAACAAGCGGTATTATCTGTCGAACTACTCCAATCTTGTCTTTGATTTCAGCATCAGTCAAAGTGAGGCAAAACAATGCCCAGTCCATGCTGTCATGCCGATGCGCCTTCTCTCTGAAATGCACAGGCAGCGAGCCAACCAGGAAAACAGATGAAGTGTACAAAAGGCAAATTAGTGGAGAGGCAAGTCCTAAAACTACGCAGATAGCTGGCAGCTAGAACCGCCAAGCCCTCGTCAATTTGTTTTGTTTCCCTCTCTTTTCTCATTTGTCTCGGCTGGTCGGATGGTCTTTGTCGATTTGTTCATGTCTGTGCTATGAGTTGCCAGCCTTGGTGTCTGTTTGTTTGTCTTTGTTGGTCTCGTTCCTCTTTGGCTAATCCTTGGCGTGCTGTCTCTCTTGACGCAGTCACCATACAGACCACTACTACTGCCACTAGTTTGACTGTCTTCTCTTGTGCAGCTGCAGTTGGCGTTGCTGCTGTTGCTCACTGTACAGAGAGAGGTGGAAATACGGTGGGTTCTGCATTTGGCTTGAGGGGACGCAAAATTGTGCTCAGCTGCTCGGAAAAGTCGCGTAACAGCACGTTGCTGCTGCTGCCGCTGTTGCTGCTGCTGCTGCTGCTGCTGTTGCTTATGTTGCTGCTGTTGTTGCTGTTCCTGTAGCTGCTGCTGCCGTCGCCGTCGTAGGTACTTCTACTGCTGCTGTGGGCAGGGACGCTGTGGTTTGCAGCCTGCTCGAGAGCACTAGCATCAGAAGCCGTCGCCATACGAGAAAGGAGAAAGGGATGCAGGAGCAGCAGCAGCAGAGAGCGCTGCCGAAATAGCAGACTGGGGCTGCGGCGGCGGGAGCTGCCGCGATGCCCGCCTCCCATGTTTGCAGTCGTTTCTGACCTTCCACTGTGCTGAATTAATGCTGCACTTGTTGAAATTGATGAGGATGCTGCTGCTGTTGGAGTTGCTGCTGTGTTTCAGTTGCTGCGCTCTTTTGTCGGCTGCGGACCGACGCTGCAGCAGTGTCTGCTTTCAACGAAAGCCGCCTGTCCTCATGCAATTTGCGAGCTCAGGAGTCTATTACTACTGCAGTTGTCTCAGTTTCTCCCGTAGTTGCAATTGCGTTAGCAGCAGCAGCAGCTGGTGCTGCTGCTGCTGCCCACACGTCACGTCGGCAAGAGGCCTGCTGCAGCAGCAGGTGTCGTTGCTATTGCTAACAGCTCAACCTCAAGAGGAGTAAAAATAATATATTAACTTTGCTGCTGCTGTCTGCATAATCGGCAGCAGCTGTAGCTGCAGCCGACTGGAGGCCCTGGGGGCCCACGAGACAGTGACAACAGGAACAGCGGCTGCTGCTGCTGCCGTTGTAGCTGCAGCTCCAGCTGCAGCATGTGCTTTCATTTTCTTGGCCTTTTATGTTTTTATGCTGCTATTTTTTTAATGTTCCAGTGAGTCAGAGCTCTCGCGCGTCGCTGCCGCTGTATCCGCCGCCGCCGCAGCAACAAGAGCCATAACAGTAGTAGCATTAATTACAGAGGGGTTGATGCTATCTCTGGCCAAAGCGGAGATGGTCTTGAGGAGTTTTGAAGCTGAAGACGAGCGCAGAAGCCACGGGACAGCTGCAGTAGCAGCAGGAGCTGCAGCACCTGCCGCAGCAGCAGAAGCGGCAGCACGGGCAACAGCAACCGTGACAAGAGCAGTAATGGTATAGAGGGCAAGAGTCTGTCTCTGATGCCGTTGCAGCCGCAGACACGGTGGCTACTGGAGGCGTTGCTGCGGTTGCCGGTGAGAGAAAGGCACAGACCGCGCAACCCCTGCATGGCTATCTCTTCGCTGACTCCTGCATGGCTATCTCTTTGCTGCAGCGAAAGTGCCAGCAGCCGCAAGTGCTGCAGCAGCGGCAGCGAAGTGCAGATCGTTGACGGGACAGCTTTATATTCCAGTTGCTGGGTGTCGCTGCCAAGGTAGCAACCGCAGCAGCAGCGGCAGCAACAGCAACAGCAACAGCAGCAGCGGAGTTGCAGGCGTCTGCGCTTTGGATGTTTCTGCTCATAATCAGGTGCGGGAGCACTTTCAATAAGAGTGGCACGAGCAACAGCAGCAGCAGCACGAGAAGCAGGAATGGAGCCAGGTACTGCGTCACCACTTGCTGCAGCAGTTCAAGCGCTGCGTCTGCTCGCTGCACTCCCTGCTGCTGCTAACAGTCGACAGGACCTTGCAAAGCAGCAGCTTCTGCGCCGCATAGAGCTCTTGCTGCTACAGCGTCAGCTGCAGAATCAGCAGCAAGAGCAAAAGTGCCAGTGGGCGGGCTGGCCGCAGCATCAGAACTGTGACGAACAGCAATACGGGCAGCAATACGAGAAGCACCGAACGCATGAATTTCACGAACAGCAAGTGCAGCAGGAGCATAAGCAGGAATGGGCTTCGCGCTGGGAAGATGGTGCGGCAGCGGAGGCGGGAGCGCTGGAGGAGCTTGAAGAGTCGCTCCTGCTGCTGTGTTGCCAGCAGCCTCCTACGGCCCTGCAACAGCAGCTGATGCGGCTGCTGCTGCTGCATCTGCAGCGGAAAAATGATTGTGAGGTGTGGCATCGTGTTGCTGCCCGGCTGTTGGCAGCAGCAGCTGACGGACTGCACCTGCCTGCGGCGGTTTCTTCCGCCCTTGCTGCGGCCGCCGCAGCTCCACCAACGGCAGGATCAACAACAGCAGGAACTGCTGCTGCTGCAGACATCCGAAGCAAGGTTCTGTCTCCCTTGCCTCCCCTTTTGATTTGTGGGCAGCTAATAAAAGCCTGCCCACAGGTGTTATCTCCTCTACTGCCGCTGCTCGTTGCCGTCAGTTCGAAGTTGCTGCAACAGCCAGCTGGTGCAGCAGCAGCGACGCCAACAACAACGACAGTGTCAACAGCAGCAGCAGTTGCGAAGGCCCTGAGGACAGCAGTTGCAGCAACAGGGGCGTGCGGAGAAGCCCTGGCTGGAAAACTTTTCGCACTAACCTTGACATGTCTCCGCTGCAGCAGCATCAAGGGCAGCAGCAACAGAAACAAGAGCAGCAGCAAGTATATCAGCAGCGCTGCTTCTGCCGAAGCCACGAGAGAGGCACTGCTGCTGCTGCAGCAAGTCGTGTGGGCCTTCCCTCGAGGTGTTGCTGCGCCTGTTGGGGATTCTCTGTTTGCTGCTGTTCTTGCAGCCGCAGCACCGGAGCCTGCCGCTGCCGCATCTGCCGCTGACGTTGCTGCAGAGGAGGAAGAGGACTCACTTGAAGCAGCTCAGGAAAACGTGCCGCATGCAGCAGCAGCACTTGCGGTCCTCCTAGCAGCCAAAGCTGTAGCGGGCATGCAGCAGCAGAAGCAGCAGCAGCAACAGCAGCAGCAGCAACTTTCGCGGAAGACATCACCCAGCCTTTCTGAAGAGGCAGCTGACAAACCAGCGGCAAGCAGTAACACAGCAGACTTTGCGTGGCTTTCGTCTGGCCAGTGCTTGACTTACGCAGCAGCTTCTGGCGCTGCTGGTGCTGCTACTCCTGGTGCTGCTGCTACCAAGGGTTTATTTTCGGAAGTGCGGAGTATTGAGGACGCATTGGCCTTGCTACGCAGGCAGTGGCTTTTACTGCATATAACAGCAACATCAGGCACGAAGAAGGGGCCAGGTGGGACAAGGCATTTCCCACTGCTACTGAAGCAGCAGCAGCAGCAGCAGCAAGCGCAGCTGTTGCAGCTCCTGTCTACAAAAGCAAGACAGCTAGGTCTGGTTCGTCAGGTTGTTGCTGCTGCTGTCCCCTGTCTCTGCCGTTTGCTGCTTAACAGCGTTGCCGCTGCCTCCCTGGTGTCCTCAGCACTGCAGTGTCTGTTCACCCTGCTGACTCAGCTGGCAGCTGCAGATTGGTGCTGCAGCTGCACAAGCAGCGGCAGCAGCAAGAAGGCAGGGGCAGGCAAGGGTATGCAGCAGCAGTGCGGGGGCCCATGCAGCTGCAGCTGCAGCAACGGGAGGACCACGCCCACTGTTTGCTGTGTCTCCCTGGAAACGCTGCACTCTCAGGCACTCGTTTCGCATGCAGCGAAACAGCTACTGGTGCTGCTGCATCCTCAGCAACAGTTGTGCTTGGTTGATTGTCTCAGTCGAGCTGTAGCTGCAGCAGCAGTAGGAGCGGCATCAAAGTTACCTCGCACAGCTCCAACGAGTGCTCCTGCAGTCTCCAGCAGCAGTGGCGGCACTTGTACGGGCAGCGAGAGCAGCGGCAGCAGTTCCAGCCGCAGCAGCAGCAGCGGGAGCAGCAGCACGCACCCGCTGCTGCTGCGTGCTGCCCTGGACATAATTGAAGAGTGTATCTGCACAGCAGGAGGCGTCGCTATTTCCTCTCCTCTCCCTGCGCTGCGGGAGTGTTTGGTGGCTGTGCTCACAGCGGCACCGAACTTGCGGCAGCAGCAGGAGCAGCAGCAACAGCAGCCCCACCAGCTGCTGCAGGTACGCTGCTCGCTGTGGTATGCAGCGCAAAGGCAGGCGGCCGCATGCATTTGGCGTTTTAGGTGTACCTCCAGCTCCCCAAGTGCCGTCTACCCCTTGCAGCGCGACTTGATGCAGGCAGCTGCGGCAGCAGCCTCGGATGCTGCTGCTGCTGCTGCAGTAGAGGAACACGGCGAAAGGCGACTTCATTCTAGCGAGTTTGCAGCTCTGTGGGGCTCTTCTCTTGGCCTTGCTGCTTGCGTCGCTGCTCGCTCAAACATAGAACTGCAGCAGCAACTGCAGCAGTCGGCAAGAGCAGCAGCAGCCATGTCAACAACAGCTGAGGAAGATCGACTCCACCGGGACATGGCGGGTATGCTCTGTTTTCTGCCAAAGACGGGCTGCAGCTAATCCACATGCTTATCTCTTTGTCTAGGCAGCCCTTACTTCTGCTGCTTCGACTGCAACTCGAGATGCTACTCAGTGCCATTGCTGCTCTTCATTATGCTGCTGCGACTGCTGCAGATCTGTGCGGCGTGTTGGCTCGGGGAGGAGCAGCCGAACGCGCATGCTTCTTTTTGCTATCGGAGGCCTTGTTGCAGCAGCCTGCAGCGGCAACTGCGGCAGCGGCTGCTGCTGTATTCCCTGCGGGAGAAGGGGAGACGATGAAGGCGCCGCTGCTATCTCCAGCAGTTTGCTGCTTCTTGCGTGCTTGCCGCAGAACACTATCTTTAAGAGACACCAGCAGCAGCATTAATCGCCTTCGCCGCATTGCTGCTACTGCTGCTGCTGCTGCAGCGGCGCCTGCAGGTAGTGGGTCAATCGTCATGCGCGACACGGCATCCACTGCGCCTGCAGCTTCTACTTCAGCAGGCACAATGCCAGGTCCAGCATCTGCAGCAGCAGCAGCAGCAGAAGGAGCAGCAACAGGAACAGTAGCAACAGCGGCAACAGCAACGGAACCACCAACGGCAGCAATCCGGGATTTGATTTTAGAACTCACTTGCGCCTTTAGGGCCCTTGCGGCATTCATGCGGCAGCAACCAGCGACGGCAGCTGCAGCAGCTGATGAAGAAACTGCCTGTGGTTTAGTGACACTCATTGTCGAGGCCTCGTTGATTTTGTGTTGCTGCAGCTGCAGCACAAGCAACAGCAACAACAGCAGATTGTCGCTGCCAGACACCACAGCGCTTGACGACGGATCACTGGAAGCGCAGCAACAGCAGCAGCAGCAGATAGTCTGTTGCCGCTGTTTCTGCATGGGGGCTGCCCCTGCCGCTGTCGCTCATGCTGGGCTTGAGGCGGCGGCCCTTGAAGCTCTCTCTCTACTGCCGCATAACAAGAGCCAGTGCAGCAAGCAGCAGCAACAGCAGCAGCTGCTGCAGCTAGCTTTATCTGCCATGGCCATTCCTGCTGCTACTTCTGTCCTTTTTCCTACAGCAGCGGTTGCCTGCTGCATCAGCCCCGCTGCTGTAGCAGCAGTTGCAGCTTTGCGCGCCACGTCTGTGGAACAGCTACAGCAACAGCAGGAGCTTGTGCAGCAGCTTGTGCAACGGCAGCAGCAGCTGGGTACAGCGGACCCAGCCCTACTAATCGGATGCCCAGCAGCAACAAACAGCCTGCAGGGCCCTACTCTTTGGGAAGCACAGTGGCGCTGCGCTTCTGATGTTGCTGCTGCTCCCTTCGGTGCATTATGGCTGCCAGCAGCTGCATTATCAGCAGCCCCAACAGCAGCCCCAGCAGACACCTCAGGAGAGCTAGCAGCAACAGCAGCAGTAGGCATGGTTGCACCAGGAGCACAAACAACACCACCGGAAAAATCATGTTCAGCTACAGGAGTCGCAGAAGTAACAACAGAGACTGGATGGAGGGCAGAATATCCGCCGCAGGTTCACCGCGTTCTCCAGGGGTCGCAACTGCTGCGGCGTCTGTTGTCTTGTTGCAGCTGCTGCTCTGATGCTGCAGCAGCAGCATTGGAGCAGACCTCATGGGTTGCTTGCTGCAGCTGGGGGCGTCAGATGCCCGTCAGTGCCTCTACGGCTGTTGCCTCTGCTAGCCGCAGTCAACGCGGTAATAAACTAGAGACAGCAGCAACAGCGGCAGCTGAAGGAGGTGCTGGTGCTTCATCTCACAAAACGTCGGGAAATCATAGGACTACCCGATCGCAGCAGCTGCTTCAACGGCTGGGTATTCCACGTCTGAGAAGGAGAAGCGGCACCGGTGTGACAAGTGCTGCTGCGTCGGCATCTGCTGCCGCAGATGCCGATGCTGATGAATTTGATCCAGCCGGAAGTGGCGGGGGAACTACGTTGCTGATGAGCTCAGTCGGCGCAGTCCTTTCTAGTGTCTTCCGGGCGCAGGAACAGGAGCGACAGGAGCAGCAGAAGAGGCAAACGCAACAGCAAGAGCAGCAACCGCAGCAGCCGCAACAGCAGCGGATACCTCTTCACGTGGTGGACAGTCTCTGGTGCTGCTGCGAGAAGGCCTTTGCTGCTGCTCCCGCTTTGGAGCGGCTGCTTTTTGCTGACGTAGCAGGTGAGCTTTACGGCCTGCTGCAGCTCGCCGTCCACCCGCGGCAGCAGCAGCAGGGGCAAGAGAATGCAGACGTGAAAGGCCTGCAAGCGGTGAACAAGCACTTGAAGGCCTTTTTAGAGTTGCCTATGCAACGAACAGAAATGGAGTGCGAGGAGTCCTCGGTCCTACTAGGCTCCAGCCGGCTATGCAGTTTGTCGCTTGTCGCAGCCAGATTGCTGCCGCTGCTGCAGGCGCCTGAGCACCGTGCAGCAGCAGCAGTAGCAGCAACGCCTACGACTGATGCCGCAGCCGCCGATGCCAGCACCAAGGACTGTGAAGAGCTCCTGCAGCTGGCGCTAACGGTTACTTCATCAATAGAGGCAGCCGAGGAAGTTGCAAGTGCTGCTGCCGCTGGTGAAGCTGTAGCAGCCCCAGCAGTAGCTGCAGGCGGGGTATCCGCTCCGTGTGCACTGTTGTGCGTTATTCGCTTTCTTGGCGCAGCCTTCCCTGTCGTGGCAGCAGTAAGGCGGGCAACCAATGTAGCAGCAGCAGAAAAGGGTTCATCAGCAGCGGCAGGCAGCCTATCTGAAGTTGTGGCGCCTGCAGAGGGCTTGCAGGAGCAGCAGCTAAGCGTACTGCAGCAACAGCTGTTCCGGGCTCTGCAGTTCGCCTTGCTGTTGCGCACGTTGCAGCCCTACATATCTCGAGCTGCAGTGCTGACAGCTGACGCAGCACGGCATCTGGTGGTCTGTCTGCTGCAGCAGGCAGCAGCAGCTGCCGCTGCAGGACCCGCTGCTCTGGTTGCCGCCATTAGGGGCCCCATATCACACGCAGTGAGTACTGCGTGTATCAAAGGAACTTAATATGAGGTTCTAAAACGTGGAGGCTTGTAATTCAGGTCATATACAGCAGGCTTTCTAGACTTATCAGACGCCTAGAGTTCACGTGGCGTAAGGTTTGGGGCTATTACGTAGGCCTAAGATAGGGTGCAAAACTCAGAGTAAGACATGAAGCAGACAGCCGAGGGATTATGCTTTAAGGCTTGTGTGTTATTGCTGACCTCAGGCAGCAGAGGCCGCGTACCTCATTTCCGTTTCAACTCAGTCTGCTGCGGAAAGGAGCAGCAGCAGCAGTGAGATTGTGCTGCAGCTAGTTTCAGCAGTACCGGCTATTCGGTGCCTTGCTGCTCTGCTGCGGATTCAAGCCTTGTCAGAAGCATCGGCAACTAGGGATGCAGAAGAAGCAGCAGCAGCAGACATAGGCGACAGCCAGTTGGCTGCCGCAACGTTGTCTCTCCAAGCTCTGCTGCCTGCTATTGTCGCGATCGCAGAGTTTGCTGCTGCCGCACCATCTCTCGTTGTGCGCAGAGAAGCAGCGCAAGCCCTGCTATCGCTGTCTCTTCCTTTGAAGGCAACGCCTTGGGCTCGCACGGCTGCAGCAGTTGCTGCTGCTGCGGCGGCTGCGCCGGAGTCGGTAGCAGCTGCTGCTGCTCCTGTGGCAGTTAATCCTCATCTGGCACTTTTCCTGTTTGAGGCCCTCAATTCTGAGCAAGAATCGCTGCAACAAAAGCTGCTTCTGCAGCTGCTGTTGCAGCAAGTCCGTCTGTGGGGCCCCACGAATCTGCTGCAGTGGGTATCACTACTCACTTATCTGTGCTGTAGCGGTACTGCTGCTTCCCCATCATTGAACTGCCACCCTTCCTCCCTTACACCTTGCGGCAGCAACAACAGCAACAGCAGCCACAGCCCCACGGATTTGCTGCTTCTGGCTCAGCAGTTGCTGCCTCAGACCCCAAAGATGTTGCTGTCCCCTCTTGCAGCAGCACGCGCGCTGCCTCCCCTCACAGGCCTCGTATGGAGGCCCCTCCCGGGTATATCTGCACCTTCAGCAGCCGCAGGAGAGCCAACAGCGGACTCTGGATTCTGTGACGACTTAAGTGACAGCAGCTCCGCGGAAGTGCAACCAATCGTTTGTGCAGCAGCAGCAGAATGCCTTGTGCTGCTGCTGAACCTTCCGGAGCTGCATCAGCAGCAGCACCATTGGACTGTCTCTGCAGCGAAGGAGTACAAGGCGAAGCGTGTAACAGCATCAGCAACAGCAGGGGCTTCTGCAGGAGCAAATGCAGCAGAGTATTGCCTGATCGACAGCCTTGCTCCACTAGTTCGGGCAGCATGCGAGCTCCTGCTGCGGGGTGTTCGAGATCAGCCGCAGCCACAGACTGGAACACGCCGAGACGAAGGGCTCACGCTCGCTGGTTGGGGTCTGCAGTTGCTATTACTGCTGCTGCAGCGCTTCATTAAACCGGCAACAGGCACCGAGGTGGGGCTGCCGGAGCCGCTACTGCGGCAGCAAGAGGTGGCGGTCTCTGCTGCAGTTACTGCGCTGCTGCGGCACATTGCGCCGCCTATGCCACCGGACTCGCCTTCCACACCCGATACGCATGCAATAGCAGCAGCGGCGGCAGCAGCAGAAGATGAAGCAACTGCAGCGCGACGCAGAGCGGCCCTACTGCGTCTTCAGGCAGCGGTGACGTGCGGGTTGACGACTGAGGATGTATATGCGCAGCAACAGCAGCAGCATCAGCAGCTCACAGCGATGTCTCTGAGAGTTCTCTTCAAATTTGCGGAGGCTGGCTGCTGCCTTAGCCCTTGGAGGCTTGTAGGCCAGCTGTTGCTGCCGCTGGGGGACGTAGCTCAGTCATCAGCAAAGGTACTCGCAGCAGCAGCGACACGAGCAGGACGAATAGAACCAGCACAAGCTCCCGCGGACTGGCTGCTGCGTCGCCGCCTTCTTTTGGCGTGCCAGCTGCTTGGCTATGTGACCTGTCCTCCTGCTGCCTCTGGTGTATCTGCTGCTGGTAGGGCTGCTGCTGCCTTCTCTGAGCAGCGAGAGCAGTGGGTTGCCGCCATGGAACCGTGTTCTATTCCTCTATCGTTGCACATTATGGCTGCTCTTTTACAAGGCGAGAAGCAGGTGCAGCAGCAGGAGCGGCAGCAACTGCTGCATGGCTTGTTAGTGCTGTGTCGGCCGCTTTCCACACCAGACGACTCACCGACTTTTGTTCCTGCCGAGGTTGCATTTGCTGCACTTGCAGCAGTTGCACGCAGCAGCACCGGCCCAGCAGCAGCAAATGCCGCAGAAACACCAAGAGAGGATGCATCACTCACCGTGGCGAGCTGCCGTGCATTGGGTAGGCTTACGGATTTGCTGCTGCAGCCGATAGAGGCGGTAGCCGCAGAGGCAAGAGAAGCAGCAGCAGAGGCGGAGGTTCGTGCTGCTGCAACAACCTGGCTAGAAAAAGAACACGACGAGCTGTGCTGGAGACTGGAGATAACGACCAGCCTTCTACTCTGCGTTTCCTTCTCGGAGTCTCCTGAACAACGGCAGCAGCACCAGCAGCAAGATTCCAGTGGAGATACAGACTGGGCAGATAATTGGTTGGCTGCTGACAGTGCAGCAGATTTTGTCGGCGCGCCATATGCAGCTGTTGCCCCTACAACAATAGCAGCACATGGTGCTGCTGCTAGTGAGCGGCGTGCTTCTCAGGGCTCAGCAGCTGCTGCGTCGTTTCACCTTCGCACGTGGCAGCGGGCCTGTGAGGCTGTAGCGGCCCTCGCAAAGGCTGCAGCAACAACAGTAATCGTTGCTACAGATCAGGTGAAGGCGCAGGAGGACAGCAGCACTACGGCTGCTGCTGCTGGCTTTGTGAAGCAGCAAGAGAGCGAATTGCCCGCAGCTGAACTTTCGAATGTACCAGCAGCATCCTCAGCAACTGCACCGAGAGAGGCTGCAGCAGCTGCGGCAGGAAGAGTTATATACTGTTGCATTTCTCACGTATGGCGCTTAGCTGCTGCGCTGCAGCAGCGGCCAGCATCCCTGAAGGAAGCAACTGCTTCCGTTTCCTTCTTTGCAGCTGTGCGTGATGTATCCACAGCTGCATTGTCACTTCCTGCAGATACAGCAGCACCTGCAGCGGCAACAGTTGTAGCATCTAAAGGGGTAGACTTGCCGCCTGGTGAGTTATCCAAGGCAGCACTCTGCCTACTGCAGCGGTGCTTCTGTGTGGTGGGAACGGCAGCTGCGTCGGTTGGCGGTACTGCTGCTGATGCTGCTTTCCTGGAACTGCTATCTCCGTTAGAATGCCCTTGCTTTCTTGTGCGGCTCTGCGAACAAGCAACACTGGAGTCTCCAGTGGAGACAGTTCAGCTGCTGCGCAGTCTGTACGAGGCAGCGGCACGTGCTTCCAGCTCGGCTGCAGCAGCAGCAACAGCGGAGCTAGCTGTAACAGCAGCACCGGAAGCAGAAGGTGCCGAAGGTCAGGCCAGCACGCGCCTGCTAATGCACTGCTCGCAGCTTATTGAATCAGCGGTTTCAAGTATCACTGCAGCAGCAGCAGGAGGGCAGTCGCTGACATCAGCAGCAACACGAACAACAGCAGCAAACACACCTCAAGCTACTCCGGTTTCGAGAGACACTGAGGGTGTGCTGACGCTTGCTACAGCGCTTGTCGCTGTAGAGGCACTTGCTCTTGCGAGTGGCCCCTGGAACAGTATGCCTCCGCAGCAACGAGATCAGCAAGGAGAGCAACAGCAGCAAGAACAGCCAGAGTGGTGCGTACGCATAGGAGCTGCTTTGCAGCGGCTGAGTGGCTTCGCCTACACAGTCGAACAGGCGTGTGCCACAACAGCAATAGGAGTTCCCGCAGAAACCGCAGCAGCAACAGCACAAAAAGGCGATTCGGAGCAACCAGCGTTAACTCCACACACCATGGCGACGGCTGAGGACGCCGAAGCAGCAGCAGCAGCGTCAAAGCCTGCCGCACCGGGGAAGGCAAAGTTAGATAAAAGAAAGGTAACAGCGGCAGGTTCATCACTATCTCCAGAGAGCGCAGGAGCGACAGCAGCACCAAGTGCAGCAGAAGGTGGGACAGAAGCAGCGCGAGCGGCGGCAGATTTGCTGCCCAAGTGGCCGGCTTCTCGGCATCATGCTGCAGCGCAATTTCGGGGTCTTCTGCTGCGTCTCGGGCGTCTGTGTAGCCAGCACGCTGCTGCTGGTAGTGGTTCGCTGTATCGCCCTTTCCCGTGTCGCGTCGCAGCAGCAGCAGTCTCCTGTCTCACGCCTGCGCTTTCTCTTCAACTCTCGGTGTCTCCCCTCGTCAGCAGGAGCAGCAGTAATGACGGCACCAGCGGCAGCGACAACAACATGAGCGAACTATCTACATTGGTAGCGCGGCAGAAGCATCCACTGCAGACGCTTGAGGCGTTTCTACAGCAGTTGCCGCCCATAAGTGAAAACGCTGCGAGCAGCAGCAGCTTGTTTCCGCTTACAGAAGCTCTTGTCGATGCTTTGAGCTGCGTGGTTGTTACTGTGCTGACTTCTCAAGCAGAGACAGCAGCAGCAGCCACCTCCCCAAAAAGAACAGCGCAAGCAGCCGTTGCACAGGAGACATCACTGGCTGAAGAAACGGTGGCAGCGCCTGAGCAAGAAACGGTTGCTTGCGACTCCGCAGCAAAGACATCCGAGTCGCCAGCAGAGATAAGAGCATCTGACAGAACAATACCAGCATCTGAGGCGCCTGCGGCTGGAAAGCCAGCAGCAGCTACGGTAGAAACAACAGATCTCGCGGAGCCAGCGGCTGCAGAACTTGCAGCAACGGCCCCAGAAGCTCCTTCAGCAACATCAGTAGCTGACACCTCGGCAGCACTAGCAACAGAACCTGTAGTGGGTGCAACGGAGCCATCAGCAGCAGCAACAGAATCCCCATCAGCGGCGCCGGCAGGAGCGACGCCGGAAGCAGAGCGTTCAGCGGCGGTGTCTGGAACAGAAAGAGAAGGAGCAGCAGTAGTGCCAGTAGACACAGAGATCTACGAAGCACAAAGAGAAGCTTATCACAGTGCTGCTGCTCGTCTGCTGTATCTTGCAGTGGCAGGACTCCCTGCTGTGGCTTCCCAGGCGATCTCTGCTGCAGCTGCTGCTGTGTCGAAGCACGAAGCAGCAAAAGCAAATGAGACAACGACGTTGGCCGCTGAAGACGCTACAGCTGCCTCTGCAGGGTGCATGCAGCAGGTAAAGGCAGCTGTGGCGCAACTTCTGCAGCGAGAGGTTGCGCGGCGGAAGCAAGCGGGAGCCTAGGCGCCTTCTCTTTGCCTGGAGAGGCAGTTTGTTTCTGCTTCTGTGGCAGCACTATCGATGCCAACAAAAGCAGTGTTAATCGCAAACGCAGAGCAATATACTTGGGCGCGTTTTGTTGCCCCGATCGTCCCAATAATTAGAAGGGCACTGTGTCTGGACCTTAGAGGCTTTAGGGTTTAGGATTAATAGTATAGTAGGGTTTAGGGTTAAGTATTCGAACTTTGGGGTGCACAGTGGAAGCACTCCTTCGGACTTGGACTGCGTACAACATTTGCTGCTGCCCGGAAAATAGACAAAGAACGGACAGCACATGAGCGCAGGGGCACAAAGAGAATTTTAACGACATTAGCATGAACAACAACTGTAGCAGCAACTGTTGTAGTCCGCGGCAAAATGATCAAACGAGCTTCTGAGGCGCAACAGGGGCAAGCAAGTGACAGGGAGAAGACAACAGATGAAAAAAAGGATAATCGCGGCATATGGGGCGAGCAGGAAAACCAGGGCTGCCTAGAAAGTAATGGACCAAAAAAATACCGTGACTCGCGCCATAGGCGTGCAGCGGAATAGTGGGGCAGGCAGCGTCAATAGATGGATAATGCGGTTTTCACGTTGAATGACACATGCATTCTTGAAAAAACAAACAGTGACAATGCATAGTTATGAGGACAGCCAAATAAATAGCAAAGGGAATGAATGCAGCCTAATTTTGCCATTGCATATGGTCAGCCGGAGACACTGGCTCTTATAGGACACCACAGCTCCTAGCCATACAGAAAGTATCAATTGAGTCTTCCTTTATGCCCTGTTGGTGTTCATATACTTTGTACCCTATTATGAATACCATATATTGCTTGAAATATGCCATTTATCCTCTGTTGCTGTGGGGCCCCACACAGGGGCCCACGGGGCCCCCGGCCTTCTACCCTACCATGTAAAGTGTCTTCGGGTGCTAGGCTTTCAGGAACTTTTCTTACCGTAAAAGCGCTCAAAATATGATTTGAAGGTCTCTGTCTGAAGGGTTTTAGGCTTATTTGTGGTTTTAGTCTGAAGCTTAGTTTATGACGCAGGGTTTCCCCTCTGCGTTTTAGGGTATAGGATTGGGGGCAGTGGGAATCTAGCTTGAATGGCCTTCTGATGTATCCGTCCCCTTTCGCTTTCTTTTGTTTTTTGTTTTATTTTTTGCTGCTTCCTTCACCGGCCCCAGCCTGTTTTTTCCTGCGCAATAGCAGCAGAAGCAATTGTCCTCCGATCCCTTTGTCTGATCGGGCCAGAAAGCCAAGCAGCGACAACAGCAGCAGAAACTACAACAGCAGAAAAATCAGAAGCATGGAGGTGCATCGTGCGCCTAGGGGCATGCTGAGGCCCGTGGTTGCAGGTTGGCTGCATCGCCTAGCGCAGCAGCAGCAGCCTCTGCAACACAAAATAACACAGCTGCTGCAGCAGCGAGTCCACACTCAGCACAAGAGGCTGCTGCAGGGCACCAGCAGCAGCAAAGCTGCCTGCTGGGTCTCGTCGGGGCCCCCTACACATGTGACAGCAGGGCGGCCGAAGGTGAGCAGCTTGTAGCTGCCGCTGCTGCATCAGCCCTTTTGCATGCGCTGCTGCAGCTGCACTCCTTGTGCAGCCAGCCGCTGCCATTTGCACCATTTTAGAGGTCTACTGTGCTGTGTTTGCATCTTTAGAGTGTCTCCCTTTGCTGCTTGTGCTCGCAGCAGACACCACACCGTCTTGCTGTTGCTGCCGCTGTTGCAACCTATCCACCCGCTGGCGCCCGCGTTCCCTGCCGTGGCTTCAGCTCTTTTGAGGCAGCGCACCTGCTCCCCAACAGCAACAGCAGTAGCACCAACAGCACTTGGTCCACGGCAGCTGCTGCATTTGTCCCGTCTGCAGCAGGTGCCGCCGCATCTCCTATAGCTGCTGCCCATGCGGCCGCAACAGCAGCCGCAGATGCCAGGCATATGGAAGCGTCTGGTTGGGACCTGAATTCCCTATGCAGCTCGGTGGTGAAGGTCTACAGCGACTTTACAGACCCCAACTACGCGTTGCCGTGGCAGATGCAGCGCCAAGGTAGCAGCACTGGAAGTGGTTTCATTGTCCATCCTGCTTCAGGAGGCAAAGAAAGAATAATCATAACCAACGCGCACTGCGTAGCCTGGAACAACAGACTTCACCTCAGGAAGCACGGGTACGCCCACGAGCGCTGCTTCAGTGGCTGTTGCTACTGATGTCGCAAATGCCGCGGCCGTTGGCAATGCTGCTGCTCCTTAGCATACAGCTGCTGCTCTGTCTGTTACTGCTCCTGCTGTAGATGCACAAGACCTGCAGTTGTGAATGCCTCTGTACCAGTGCTGAGGATGTCGTTGCCGTAGCTATAGCTGCTTTCGTAACAGGAAGTGTGCCTGCCAGTAGCTCTTGTCGCTTTCACATACTTATGTGTTCTGGCCCTTTTCCCCGCTGGATTGGCAATTTTGCAGCTTGATTAATCAGTTTCCAGTTTGTCAAATTGCTGCTTTTTAGCTCGCCCATTAAATACCCAGCGAGAGTGTTGGCTGTGGCGCACGAGTGTGACCTGGCTGTACTTACGGTTGACAATGACGAATTCTGGGCTGACACACAGGGGCTCCTCTTCGGTGATGTAAGTGCTACGGGTGGCGTTGCGGCTTCTCCGTTTCCCGTTTCTGCTGTTGATTGCGCGAATAGCTGTTGTTGGTGCTGCTGCTGGTGCCGCTGCTTGTGCTGGTGCCCACAGTGCTGTTGCTGGTGGGCTGCTACTGCTAATGTTGTTTCCGCTGCTGAGCTTCCGCCCTTGTTGCTGCAGATTCCTGCACTGCAGGACGGTGTGATAGTGTTGGGCTACCCACGAGGAGGCGACAACTTGTGCATCACTTCGGGGGTCGTCAGTCGCGTAGATGTCAACACCTACGCACACTCGAACGCCGCGTGCGCCTTAATCCCTAAGATTTTGAATTCCATTCCTTAAACTCCAGACCAAAGAATTAAATGTGAAGCCTACACTCGGCGCGCGAGTCACTCAGTGGCAAAAGTGGGTGAAACATGTGTCGGTCATCGCTACCGCTTTTGTTGCTGCTGCTGCCGCTGCTGCTGCTTCAGTCTGTTATGTGTGCAGATCGACGCTGCGATAAACCCTGGAAACAGTGGTGGTCCTGCTCTGAAGGAGGGCCGGGTGGTTGGTGTGGCGTTTCAGGGGTGCGAGGCCTCAGCGGCACAAAACGTCGGCTACATTGTGCCTTGGAATGTTGTTAACCACCTCTTCACTGACCTGAAGAGGCACGGCAAGTACACTGGCTTTCCGGCGGCCGGCGTGCTCTTCCAGCCACTAGAAAACGAGTGCATGCAGCAAAAGCTTGGAGTCACCAAACTCAAGAAAGAAGATCTGCCACCTGGTGAGGCATTTGCTGCGACTGCCGCGAGCGGCATTGCTACTCTGGCGGCTGCAGATGCGAATCCTTTTGGTGCCGTTACGGCTACCGCTGCTCCTTCCGCTGCATTTGTTGCTGCAGGTGTGACTGCGGGTGGCATTCTTGTGACGGCAACAGACGCCGTGCGCTCTCGCAACTTTCTGGAACGCGCAAGGGCGGCAGCAGATAAGGTTGAAGCGGCAGCAGCATCAAGCGGCACAGGGATACCACCAGAGCCAGCAACAGATGAAGCAGCAGCAGCGAAAGCAGCAAATGCGGTTGCCGCGCCCTTCGACTCAAGGCCTCTGGCGGACCCGTCTGCTCTTGTGCAGGCTGCAATAGCAGCAGCAGACGAAGCAACAGCAGCAGCTGCAGCAGCAGGGAAGCCACCGCCCTCAGCAGCAGAACGCAGAGCTCTGCTGCACTCGTCTTTGGAGCAAGCAATCGGGCTGCAACAAGAAGACGTTGTTATGGCTGTCGAAGGAGCCGATGTAGCAGGAGACGGCACTGTTCACTTCAGGTTAGTTTTTCTCCGGTTTATCTCCGTCATTAGCTCTCTGCATCTCCTTTATTGCTTATTTGTTGTTTCTTCAGCCTCGCTCGTCTGTCCAGCTTGCCCTCTTCTTCGCTTGTGTGACTATTTCCTTTGGCCTTCAGCTTTTTCGTCTCCTTTCTTTTTCATTTTGACATATGGGCTTTAAGCCAGACAAGTTGCTCTTCCATTAGGTGTCATCCCATGTTGTGTTCATGGTGCTGCCGTTGCTACTGCGTAGCAGCTGTAGCTAACGTGGTTCGCGTAATGGCTGCTTGTTAAAATCCGGGCTGTGTGAAGCCACTTTGCTTCTTTGGATGCCGTTCCGAGGCACATCACATTGTGGGGCATTAGCGGTTTCAGTGTATGATAAAGGGTTGAGGGCTTAGACTTTGTCCTCAGGGGCATGGAAAGAGTGAGCGTTTCGCACGTAATATCTGAAAAGTTCATGGGAGAGACCCTTAACCTCACAGTCCTCAGAAAGGGGAAAGTGCAGAACGTTGTGGTAAGCCTGAATGCGCAACTACAAAACTTAGGCCTAGTGCCGAAAACCCTCATAGAAAGCCTCCAGACCTTCACTTTGTGCCTCACAATAGCATCTACAGCTCCCAACCTGTAACGTCTGTACGAATGATTCAAAGTTGCTAGAACTATTGACACAAGCATGCAGTCGAAAGCGTTGAGCCTACGGGAATGCTATGCTCTAGGCTACTATGACTAGTGTTATCCTCAACACCCTCGCACAGAATGCCAAGCCCTAAACCCTCACATTGCGGATCCATAAGCCGCCGTACAACACAGTAAACCCTACGCCTTACGAACGGCAATGAATCGTTTAAGCACGTGGATAATTCAGTGTTGCAGCCCGCCAATGATTGTTTAGACTTCGTAAGTCACTTTGAGCGTCGTTTGCAAAATATTACGGAGTAGAAACTCTTTTTACAGCTGCACGCGCGCAATTGTGAAAGTCATATATGCTCAGCAGCCTGTATCCAAAAGTAAATAGGAGTTGCCGAGTATATCTGATATCCCAATCTACAGCGCAACGTATTTACAGACACGAACATATGCATATATTTATGTGTTGTACAGTAGTATGCTTGTGCTGTAGAAAACCTAATCAGTATACATTCACCGCCAAGCACAGAGAGGCTGCCCAGAAGCGACTACATACGCATGATGCTTTTACATAGCATGCGTTCGGGTTTTATGACTGCCTGCAGGTGCCCCTGGAGAGAGAGCAATGCCTTATTCCAAAACATCAGTGGGGGATTCCAGCACGCTATATAGTTTATGGGGGCTTGGTCTTCTGCCCCCTTACTTTGGAATACTTGAAGGTAGGGGAGACGGACCACTTGCCTCTATCTTTAGCTCCTCGCTATGCTGAGGTGTTGGTAGCACGTCTGTGACTACTCAGTGCTTGTTGAGCTCTTATTCGTCCTGTTTTCTTTTCTTCGCAGTCTTAGTTCTGATGCATTCCATGTCTACTTTTTCAGGACGAGTTTGGGCCAAAGTTCCACGAGAGGGCCCCCAGCTCGCTGCTACGGCCACTGTCAGAGGTTTTCGCCACTGTCGAAGGAGAGGAGCCCATTGTACTAACACAGGTTAGAATTTATGATTCAGGGCCAAGAGTAGGAGTGCCCTCATGGACGGGTTGCCTTGAGTTGGTGTTTCTGAGGCTATGCTAACGCACTTATTTTTGTTTCAGAAGAATGCTGCTGCCCCTTCGTTGCTCATGGTGCACGATGGTGTCGCTGCTAAAAGTCGCTGCTGGTGCGCGCGGTGCTGCTGGTTTCGCAGATACTGGCGTCTGACCTGACCAGTGGTTACAGCGCGCGCAATTGCCTTCTCTCCTCCGTGGACGGAACGAAAGTTATTAATCTGCGGCACTTGGCGCAACTCTTGGGAATCAGAACAACCCAGCAGCAGCAACCACACAAGCAGGAGCAGCCACGGGAGCACGAGCAGCAGAAGCAGCAGGAACAGCAGCAGCAAAGCGAGTTCGTGACATTTGTTCTGGAGGAGAAGTTGCAGGTAGTGTTAAACAGAAAAAAGGCCGAAGCGATGCTGCCTGAAATCCTGAAGCAGCATGCCATACACAGCCAGACTAGTGACAATTTGTAAGCATGTGGGCCGGTAGCAGCCGAAGCAGGTGGCCCCACACCAAAAGCAGCAGGTGGCCCTGCAGCAAAAGTGGCAGGTGACCCCGCAGCAGCGGCTCCAGGCAGCCCTGCAATAGCCAGCAGCGACAGCGGCGATGGCAGTAGGGCGACCAGCTGCTACTAAATGGCCACTACGAACGCACTCGACGCCTGCTCTGTAGTTGCCTGTAGCAGCGCTTGTTCAGTATGCAGCAAGAACTGCGGCAGCAGGAGCAATTTGTGAACTCGTTTTGTCACTGCTTTTGAGCGACACTGCTCCCGTTGCACCTCGGGGAATAAAAGCAGCCTTTCTTGGACGAACCGAAGAGAAGAGTAGACGGAAAACGCAGCCTTGAGCGGGGGCAGAAAGAAACAAGGTGACGGCCACACAGATATAGCAACGAATGAAGCCAAATGCAGACAGGTGAAGTCTAAAGCACGGCCACGGGATAACCGGCCGAGACGGAAGAAGCAAAGTAGTGGGGGGCAGTCTGTCGACGGCTTCGCCAGAAGGCAAAGCCTTAAACCTTGGTGTCGTGGACTGCGTCTTGATACAGATGTCCAAAACATATCTGCACCAAGATGCTCCAAACTAACCCTTAGCCCTTACGGCCACGTAAAACTGCTGTCACGTGCTCGGTGAAGTGTAAATGTGGAGAGAAATGCTGAACTCTTAGCGTCTATTGTTGAGTGCCTAGCTTGCGGTACGTAGAGCAGCGGCGTGAGTAGCAGCAAGATCTGCAACACCGTAAGTAGCAGCAGAAGAGGAAGCGGAGACGAAGCTACTACATAAATTCCAGCAGCATTAACACAAACAGCCAAGAGCATCAACCTCAGCGACAGCGACGGGGCCAACCGCAGCAAGGACAGTGTCCAAAAGTGTTGCTGCTGACGTCATGTGCGTCTTTAATTTTCTTCTAACATCTGTAATTAGTTTGATTAGACGTTAAATTTGTCCTTGGATCAGGCAGTGTTAGTTTCAGATATAAACCTTCTGATGGGGCCCCCTCCTATCCCGTAGCAGGGTCCGTGTGGGGCGATGGGGGCCCCCATGCTTTACTGCCTTCAGAGGTGCTGTTTGTGGATAAGGTACAAATGCCGTACGTTTCGTTGTTAAATTTCTAGGGTTTTGAACGGACTGCATAGAGTTAAGGGGATTTAAAACCCACCAGTGACATTGTCAAGTTCTCCCCGAGAGTCTTGGCGCCTTCATTGAAATGGCGAAGGTTAAAAGTGAGGCCTGGCCTAGACCCTCCATCCTAATTGCCAAGACTTGTGCCTTGAGATTCAAAGGCTTACACCACGGCCATCAGTGCAAGGACCTACGATCTCAAAGCCGGAGCCAGTAGCTTCTCTGTGTTGCCTCCCTGCATCGACGCGCTATCTCGATGCGCTGTGGCCTCAACGCTTTGGACGTGAGGGCTCATAGCTCAGGATTTAAGTTAAGCAGTTCATCCTGTGTGGGCTGTGTTTGTGTTTAGAGCAATCCAAGAGGCGAAAGCTCTCACAGAAGTACAACGTAAGCCCCAGTTTCAAAGCCACACGGCCTACCCGTAGACTTGAGGCCCTACAAGCAAAGTATTTCCCCATAGGTAGAAAAGCACCCCAATTCAAAATACAAGCTGCAGACGCTAGCTGCTGCTGTCCTGCAGATTCAAAAGAAAGTCCGGGAGCATAGAAGGAAAATGCGGAAGGTGGCGAAGAACAAAGACGGCCCTGTTAGGCGAAGTAAGATGAAACTTGGTGCCATCATCCCTATTGGCGCTGCTGGAGCTTCTGTCGCCGTCATTGTGTTGCTGCTGAGGTGGTCTTCTGCTGCAATGTTCCATCTATGGGTGGGGCCTCTTAGCGGGCTCGTGGCTGTGGCTGCTACTGCTGCTGCTACTTCCTCTGTTACTGTCACTGTTTATGGGCTTTCAGAGTTTCGCCGGGACCCTGGTATTCCGAATTCTTACCCTTTCAAGGCGGAACTCTTGGCGAATATAGCGCGGCAGAAGCAGGAGAAGGAGGAACAGCTGCAGCGGGAACGGGAGCAGAAGAAGCAGCAGAAGCAACAACAACGACAACAGCGTCAAGAGCAGTCCGAAGCCGCTGCTGCAGCTGTCCAGGCAGACGGAGCAACAGACGCGGAAGCTCTGCAGCGAATCGCAGACAAGGCGGCAGCAGCAACGACGGCCTTCGAAGCAGCAACAGCTGCTGGTCCTTCGGGTTCGTCTCGCAGTAGTAGCCACCACAAAGCTTCTTGTGAACCCCCAGTGGCTCGCAGAAAGCCGCTCTCCAGTCGCACGGCGAAGCTTCAGGGCTTATGAGTATAAACGCTTAGTTTTTTTAGTCCCGTTTAATGTACGTGCAGAGGCGGACCTGGCGCTTCAGTCGATTGCTTCTTCGTTGACTCTGAGCAGTAGCAAGCAGCAGCATGTCGCTGCACTGCAGCGGCAGCAGCAGCAGCAGCTCCGGCAGCTCCTGGCAGCATCAGACATCATTATACACGTCTTAGACGCGAGACTGCCCCTGGCGTTTCGATGTGCGGGTCTAGAGCGATGGGCACTTCGGTAAGGTGAATGCTTTTGGATGTGCAGCACAGGCTCTAGGGTTCCACGCTAAGCCTTGTCTGTACGTGGTGCTGCTGGTCTATGCTTGCATTTTTCACCGTAGGTTTAGGTTATGCTACCTGCGTTTCCAGGGAGGGAAAGAAGGTCATCTTGCTACTGAATAAGATTGACTTGTTGCCTGCTGCTGCTCTGGCGGCGTGGCTGCAGCACCTGCAGCGCAGCTCTGCGTGCCCTGTCCTGGCGTTCAAGTGCAGCAGTAGCAACAGTAGCAGCGCCGGCAAGCGCACAGGCAGGTGGTGCGCAGCAGACCCTCTCCACGCCTCGGATAAACTAAAGCGGTAAGTTTCAGTCGTGAGCCTTTGGCCATGATTTCTAAATTCGGACGTAAGCTTTGTAAGTTCTTGTAATACCAGGTGCTTGCTGATGCTGAGGCTACGGGCTGAGGCTACGTGCGGTGGCAAGACAGCGTTCGGGCGTCAGAGTTCATGGCTTAAATTTTAGGTTCTGGGGTCCTATGCTTCGGCTTCGCTGCAGAAGTAGTTCGCACGCCTTAGGCGTACAGCCGCTGCTTAAGCTGTTGTCTTCGATAGCCCATGCTGCAGCAAAACCGTCTCATGGGGGCGCAGCAGCAACATCAACAGCGGAAGGCGATAAAATTACCACTGAGAGCCGTGCCTCCGCCACCAGTTCCTCCAGCCGTCCTGCGCTTGGCGGTGGTAGCGGCAGCAGCAAGGCATTCATGACTGTTGGGGTTGTGGGCTATCCAAATGTGGGCAAGAGCTCCGTGGTGAACGCGTTGACCCGTAGTGTATGTACAGCTTCTGTCGCTGCACTGCCTGGAAGCACCCGCCAGTTGAAGTTCATCAAGCTGGACGCGCAAACACAGCTCATCGACTCCCCGGGGGTGCTTTTTGCGCCCCCAGCAAGAGAGGAGGACAGAGCCACGATTCTGCCACATCCCCTGTCCATCCTGGCCCTACAGCAGCAGCAGCAGCAGCAGCAGCAGGGGCGGCAAGTGGAGAAGCCATTGGTGGCTTCTGCATCTGTGCTGCTGCAGTCACTGCTCCCGGTGCCACAAATACCAGATCCGATTTCAGTCGCCGAGGCGCTGATATCGATTTCATGTATACAGACACTACAGAGACTGTACCACTTGCCATCATTTTCAAGCCCCAAAGAGGCATTGCACTCACTGGCAATGCGCAGAGGCAAGCTGCTGAAGGGAGGAATAGCAGACATAGATGCAGCGGCGAAGATGTTCCTTCAGGGGTGGCAAGAGGGGAGCATTCCCTACTATTCTTTGCCCTCAGGCTTCAGGGATAATGTGAGCTGAGACGACTTACTAGTTAATTTAGTAGCTGCCTTCTGGGCCATTTACACTATCCAGTCAACTCCTGATGCAATTAATCATGCTTGTCACTTGTTGCTTATGGTATAAAGCATCCACGCACTTAAATGTCGTTTTCGATCTGTTTACGGCTCCCGGTCTGCGCCCATATACGTATCTTTTGGTCAGCCCATTTGCTTTTCCTACTGGCACTTCGTTAGGTTGTCTGCTTGTCATTTCGTCCTCATGTTTGTTTAGTCGTTGCGTATGTACTCTTCCAGTTTCTTTTCTGGGTCTGAATGAGCAGCCGGAATTGTGGGGTGCAATGCGTCAGAGCTTAGTTCCACTTTTCCAGTTCCATGTTTTCCTCTTGTTGCCCCTGTTGTTGCTGCCGTTGCAGGAGCCTGTCCGACTTGTCAACAAGAGCGATATGGAGGACGAGGCCGTTGCTGCGCTGAGGCAAGAGCTTGCAGACAGGCAACTGGCGGCTCTCGGAGTCACGCCAGCAACAGCATCGGCACCAGCCAGAGGGCCAGAAGCAGAAGCAGAAATTGAAGACGCGCAGGCGTCTTACGCTGGGCATGGAGCGATGGTGAGCGCAGCGCAGCACGACAGCTGTACCAGCGGGCTCAGCAAATACAGCAACATCAACAGTGGCAGCGGTATGGCGATGTGGTGATGGTTCTTTCCATTTATATATTGAGACAGGGCCCTGTATCCTTCGTTGGTTGCCGCCCTGCTGACTCCTTTTTTTGTTGCTGCTGATGCAGCGCCTTATGTTTAGAGACATTGCTATGACAAAGAGACAACGGGAAGAACAGCGAGCCAAAACAGAGGTGTGGAAAAGGTTGCACGGGACAAGCCGCTCTTACCACGGTTTAGGGTTTCTGGTGAACGGTGCTCGGTATAAAGTCGGAAAGTTGGGGCTTGCAAACACGTATTTAGACTTTAGCAGGTTTTGAAAGTTTAAAGTCGACGATTTGGGGTTGAGAGCCTGTGGGGAAATGCAGGCTTCTGAACGGATGGAGCATGTGGCTGCACGACAGAAGCAGCGCAAGGTATGGAATTTGCTGCCTATAGAGTTGCTGCTGATAGCCGCTACTG